AAAAAAAGAAGAACAGAAAGCGTCGGGTAGCCTGATATGCTGACGTCACCATCCAGAGATATGAGACACGTACCCTAGCGGTGGTGCCATGAATCTGGCACTTTCGACTGCCTTACGGCGTTGAATCTAGCCGATTTTGAAAGTCTGAAGGTGTTTTTCCGCTTTCAACACTCCACAGAAAGGCAAAAGCTGAGCGATGGCGGCACAAGTAGTGCAGGACCCAATAGACCATTTGCTATATTACCCAAGCATCAAGAAGAATGCAGGAATTGGTGTTCCACGCGCCACACGCGCACGCCTTCCCCGTATAAAATATTCGAAGTGAATAACCAAAACAAAGCGTTGACGAACGCGCGTGCAAGATGCCATTTGTTTTAGGTATTTGCTTTAGACAAGTGATTACTGCTGACGCCAGCGCGTGTGGAACACCAATCCCTGCATTCTCCTTGATGCTTGGGTAATATAGACGCTTTGCAGCAGCTGTGCATGGACGCCACCATAACTGACCTTCAGTTTTTGTTTCCTCTTATTCCGTTTATTTCACTTTATCATTACCATAGCAGGCCAGGTTATTGCCATATTAGATTCAACTGCGTCCTTTTCTAAAGCATCGGCCTTTGTAGAGGATCTTCAACTACCGTTTCAGTTGCTCGGCATCTCGGTAAGACAAGAGAAGGTCAGCAATGGCGGCTGTAATTTGGCGCGTGTGTAAAGCGTCTATAGCAATAGGCCTATCTATGGCCTCTGAGATTTTTCCCGCGCTCCGTTCCGGCCTATCCAAACACTCGACTGCCCATCAGAATAAGCCAGCAGAGTCAGTTCTCTAGACCTCCACACAAGACGCTTAGGAGCAAACCAGAAATGGAAACAGAATGGCCTCATATCACGCAGTCAAAAATAATTGGGGTTGTGTGGATATTTAGACAGCGTGTAGTTGGTCAGCCATTTCAAAGTTGCGACGAGTCACTCGCTGTAGATGAGCAATTTAACCAGTGCAGTGCAACCGCTAGCCTGGGGTCTCACGCTGTCAAGTGTGAGCCCGCGGAATGAAGCTTGCATCTTCATTGTTCTCATAGAGAAATGTGAGTCGACCTGTGTTGATTCTTAATTTTTGATCGCTGCTCCGGTTTTTGCGCTGTTTTGCTGGATGATACCCAAAATGCAAAATCGGAAGAAGAGGAAGCCAGCTGAGCGTAAGACGTGTTTTTTTTTCATCGTCAGAGAGCCAGCAGGACCAGTGGCTCACACCATGTTTTCGATCGACAGGGTGGTCACACTGCTCGGTTACAAGCTCGCCCGCAAGCTTCAAAGTCCGCTTTCGCGAAGACCGCTTCCCGGCCAACACCTGTGCCAATCCCTGGAGCCCCACCATGGGGGTGCTTGACTCCCTGAGTCGCCGAAAATTTGGGCGGCTCGTCTGAAAGCCGTGGACGGAGGGAGCCCTCCCCAGGCGCTCGAGACCGGCCAGCTACAAGACAGCAGCCCATGGCGGCCCCACGAAGACCACGGTCGCGAAGACCGCTGCAAACCTAATGCTCTTCACCAACTTCAACCAACACACCAACCCCTCAGCGTCGTTCACAAGCCCCATTTAAATCATCATCACCATTTCTTTTAAATATTCATCTGTGCAATATGATCCCATCATCGTTGGACGCGGCGCCGTGTGTTCTCGCGGTATGGGCAACCTGCGTTCCTGCGGCGCTGCGGCTCTCCTGAGCTTGAAATGAATCACTACCACGATTAATGCGAAAGCTATAACTGTTCCATGGACCGAAGCCGGTGTTGTCTGAAGCCGTTGTCTGTAACCGTCTGCGGCTCAAAAACGGCGCCTAAACTCCCATTCGCAATAAAAAAAAAGGAAAAGCACAGCGCAGATGCTTGTTCATGGAAGCCGGCGGGTGCGCGCAAGGTCAAAGCGTACGTGCCTCAGAAATAAAACACAAAGAAAAGCAGAGCAACGCAATGCTTCGTCGCGGAAGCCGTCGTAAGCCGGAAGGGTTCGCCGCGTCTGCGCAGTGCGGGAGTGTTATGTTACCGCCGGAGCGCCGTGTGCAAAAGGAAGACGTGACGCGTTGCTTGTAGGAATGCGCTAAGTGTAGGAATGCTTTCGCAGTCCTACACTTAGCGGTGTAGGACTGCGAACTCGCACTAAAAAATCGGCAGTGTCTCTGCCGATTTTTTAGTGCGAACCTCTATTTTGTACTTTCCTTCCTGATTTTGATGTGCTAAACTTCTTGTTTTTAGTGAAATGATTAGACGTGGAATTTGTTTAAAAACATAATCGCGGGCATTTGTTCTACGCTCCTCGCGCTGCGAAAAAATGAGCCTTCAAGTTTCGATGACCTTCTTCCTTGTCAAAAGTCTGTGTGTTGCACCGAGAGGCGGGGAACACATTTCGCGCTCCGCGATAATGGTGATGATCATAATTCGTGGCTATTTCTTTGTTTTTTTCGGTTTAAAACCCCTTCATGTTTCGAAAGTAGCCCAAGATCCGTCGATGCACGAGGCACGTGCAACGTGCAGCCTTTGGGAAGATCATGGTGGTACAGCGCAGCACTGAGCTAGATTAGAGCGTACTAGAAAGCGTGCTATTTCTGCACCTCCGAATGTGGAAAAAACGCCTAATCGGAGCCACTTCGCTCGTAGCGCCCGAGAGGGTACTACCACGGCCGAGGTACTACAAGCGAAATATTTCGGATTGGGTGTTTTCTTTTTGTTAAAAACGCGTAGCGAAATTCCAACGCCATGCTCGACCGGTACACTGGTCAAGGTGATACAAACAATAGAACGCCGGGCTATGTTTTTATACAACCCAGACGTCAGGCGTCACGTCCATACATAACGCCACTGCGGCCTGACTTGTCCCAATGCCAGTCGACATCACGACGACGCCTTGACGTCAACGTCGTCATCGACATTGACAACGCGCGTTACACGACATCAAGAATGCGTTCTAACATAAAATTACGTTGACAACGACATCGACGTTAACGTTGACGACAACGACGTCACGCGACGTCAAGATGGCGGCTTCATTGTCAATGAGACGTCATAAAGACGCTTGGTGTTAGGCTCTCGACGTCGTTGTCGACATGACGCAACTCGGCGTCAGGACGACTTCCCCCAAAAAATCATAGCGTCGACGTCGACATCATCGTCAACGATGACGACGTTACACGACGTCAAAAGTTCGTTGTGACGGCGAGTCGACATTGATAGTGGCGAAGACGACGACGTTAGACGCCGTCAAGGCGTCGTTGTGACGTTGAGGTTGACGATGACGTCAATACGACGTTAACGTGACGTCATAGCGATGTTTGACGTTGCGTGGGGCATCGAGGTAAACGTCGTCATCGATGACCACGTACACGTCGTTCTCGACGCGGCTTGACGTCATGACCCCGTGAAAACGGCGAATTGATGTCGCGCAGCTGCGTGGTCCTCAACGGGACGCGGTGTCACTACCGCATTATAACCAAGACTTGATGTCGCGTAACGGCGTCGTCCTCAACGCGACGCGATGTCACGACGGCTTTACGACAGCATCTTGGCGTCGCGTAACCTCGTAGTCGACGATGACGTCGCGGCGTCGTCGTAACGCCACATCATCGTTACGTAGTGTTTTGACGTTACCTCTTACGTCAAAATCATTCAAACAAAATACAGTCAGCCCTTAAAGGGCATATGACCTTGACCCGTGTCGTCACTCGCTTAGATCACAGTGAAGGTGGCGCTGCGATCGAAGTGGCTTGGTGCCACCTGATCGCTTTCCACATTTTGAGGCCCAACTGAAAGCATGAGCAAAGCCTGTAGCCCGCCCCAGCCAGTTGTTTCTAGTTCACTCTCGCTAGATTTTAGACGCCATGTTCTTCCCATATGTGACGCGAGGCACGTGTGTTGAGCCTTTCCACAACAATGAATGGTGCCACTTTTCACAGGATAGAGGGGCCCGTGCCACACGGGCAACTCGAATGCCATTTATAACAAATGACATTTGAGTGGACGGCCAATCAGCGCACGACACTCCGGGCGTGGCGCATTCCACGCGCGACAAATTGCGAGCTGATTCGCCGACCGCACAAATATCCTTCGTTGTAAATGGCGTTCAAGTTGCCCATGTGGCACGGGTATAATACCCGTGCCACACGGGCAACTCGAATGCCATTTACAACGAATGACATTTGAACGATTGGCCAATCAGCGCGCGACACTCCGAGTGTGGGGCGTTCCACACGCGACAGATCGCGCGCCGATTCCTTGATCACACGGATGTCATTCGTTGTAAATAGCATTCGAGTTGCCCGTGTGGCACGGGTATTATACCCCATTCACACGGCAAGCATAAAGGTACCTTTAACATAGGTCCCTTTGCAATCGGCAAATCAGCCCACGCTCTTGGGTCGCGAGCACACGCCACGCGGGGAGGATCGCGAACTGATTCGCCGCTGGGCATAAAGGTCCCTTAGCTAAAGGTACCTTTATGGTCGTGTGAATGGGGTATTAGTTTGGTTTGGTTGGGAGCGCAACCAATCGCCCCGCAGTAACAGCCTCTATCGCGCGAATGCAATGGCCCGAGGGGCGCAGCCAGCGCCCGAAAACATCTCGGAGTCCATGCCGAATCATGTGAGCTTGTACTACCCGATATCGGGGCGCCACAGTTTGTTCAAATCTTCAGCGCAGTAAGCGTGTTGTAGATGAGAAATGATAACCATATTGCGTGCCCAGGTTGACTGATTGCCAGTCTGGGCTAGCAGTCATTTAGCCCATGATAGCTGGAAAGGGCTAAACCAGGTGTCCTGGGCTAGCCCGTTCTAAAGTCACTCTAGCCCGTTCCAGACTGGAACGGGCTAGGGGTTAGGGGGGGGGGGGTTGTTGAATCCAGGATACCTGGTGTCTGCAGCGCGAGCTTTCATGGAACGTGCTTCGCGCTGCGGTTAGTTAACAGCGCGCTTCCGTGGGAGAGGACGAAGAAGACTAACTGCGGTTCGTTCTACGTGATGGGCGAAACACACGACAGCGTGGTACTGTTCCTCCAGGACGGCGGTTCTACGATAGAGTTCTCCGTGTCTCGGGACGTACTGTCCGTGTCAAGTTCCTACCTGCGGGACGTCATCCGCGAATTCTGGGGGAATCACGGAATCAAGTTGCAGTTCAAGAACCTCTCCCAGGTATTCGGTGGGCGGGGCCGGGGAAGCAACAAAAAACAAGCATAAAAAACAAGTTTGAAGAATGTACGCGGAACACCGCGGTGTGTCGAATCCACAACCTCCTTTATTCAAAATGTTTGGAAATTGCCTATAACTTTCGACTGAGATAACGGTTTGTTCTGAAACTTTGGCATCTGCTTCGGACAGCTAGCGCTACATCTGGGCCGAAAATGAGCGCTCGGCGATGCGTAGCTTTTTTTTTTTTTTTTTGCCGTAAGAAACAACAAAAACTTCGTAAATTTTGTTTTTGTTTTTGAGGGGACACCCTGTATGTATTTACGATCACTTGACAAGCGAGTGCCACAGCGCCCATAAAGAGACCTCCCTGGTTTGCATTCCTCCCGAGAAGTGGCGGTGCATCTCAGCTCTTCTGCTCGTGGTTCAGGTTTTGCTTTCCGCGAGGGCGTCCGCGACCCACGTTTATTTACAGCGCGAGCTACGTTCCCTTGGTCTGTTAGCATATTCTGGTGTAGTATGCGATATCTTTCTGGTTTTAATCATGTCCGACTGATAGAAGCGAACATGTAGAAGTCAACGGGGTGGTTTACCGTGTCGTACCGTTTTGTAAGGTTTACCTTATCCTACCGTTTCGTAAATCAAAACGGGGACAATCAGTGGGTATTAGTTTCCATGATTTTCCCACCACCGCATTCCGGCACGAATGAAACAAAGCCATTAATCGCAAAGGTGACTATCTTTCCATTTCCTTGAATTACCGGAGATTGGGACGAAAAAACTTATGAAACATAAACCATTGAAGATAAAGATAAAAATGACAGGAGAACAAAGTCTCAAACTCAGCTAAATGTTTATAAGAGAGAAAGAAAGAGAGAGAGAGAGAGAGAGTAGGCTTGCGAAAGAGTATATACTAACGTGCACGTCATTGCCAGAGGCCAAACGGTCATCCTCCCACGGACCATAGCCGCTTTGCAAAGAAAGGGTCAATCCATTCACTCAGCTCAAACCTTTCTATCCTTCGTTGGAAATTGTTCACTGCACGATGCATAATTATTTCCAGTTTCTGTTTCCTGCAATTTTAGGCACTGCTGTACAATAACCAAGTAGCAACGTTAAAAACAAATTTAATTTGTTTAAATTTATTGTTTAGAAACCAACATTCACGAATGTTGGTAAGTGCTAAACCTAAATACACCGTTGTTTAAAAGTTCCATGCCACTCTGTTCATTGGTTTATTCATACCAATGTGTCGAACCGAAAAAAATACGGGTTCGGTTACGGTTCAGGTTCAGGTAAATTTATTTTGTTCCGGTTCAGTTCCGGTTCGATTAATTCGATCCGCGAACCGGTTCGCGAACTGGTTCGGGGCGCTGAACCGGTTCGCGAACCGGTTCGGAAATTATAAATGACAAATTGCAACATCAAAATAAATTACAAATAAAACATCTGAAATCAGCACGTACGAAACAGGATACATCGCAGTGTAAGGCTCAGGGATTTCTACCAGGAATGGTTTCTTTATGTGCACTCAAAGGTTATTTCACCGACGTTTACGCATTCGGACTTCATCTACTTGGGTCCGACGCAGTAGCTGTAAAATCCGCGACCTCCTTACAAACCCACTTACAAGTAGAACTCGCTAACTATCCCGCCACCTCGGCGTGTAAGCAATTGAAGGAACAGTGGGGAGAAAATACAGCTTTCTTGATTTGAACTAGCCTTCGGTAACTCAAATTAGACCCTTAAAGAAATTTTCATTAAACAAGTAACATAATATGAAAAACACTTCACCGAACGCAACGCCAGAAGAACGTAATAGGATAAATATTAAAATAGAAGAGTTCGCTGTCTCACAAATATGTTAGCTTCTAAGTGCCTATACGAAACCGGATGCATTATTATCAAACTCCACAGCCTTTTCTTTTCTCATTCCGATGGAAGCAAGCTTCAAGAACTCGCGCGTTCTAGAAACGTGTTATGAAATGAGCACACAGCAGCATTTAGGATTTACGAGATTGTAGGAAAACCAAATCCCGTGGCGCGATTTTTTTTTTTTTTTTTTTTTTTGCACAGCCTTCTTAATTTTTTTTTTCCGTGCAAGCCGCGACCAGCGCAATACTGGTTCCTATGTCAAGATTCATGGATGCAGCGTTTATATTCCTAAGACTGAGTGGAGAAGAAAAATATGTAAGCGAGGTGTGTGTCAGTTGACGGCACTTAAAAAACAAATGGCATTGATAGCACATTCATTGTCAACAGCGCGTGGCCGAACCGTTTTGACATGAGCCGGCAACCGTTATTTTTTTTCCGGTTCAGTTCCGGTTCGGGTTCATCGCGATAACAATATAACGGTTCGGGTTCGGGTTCAGTTCCGGAAAAGATACCGGTTCGGTTCCGGTTTTCGGTTTGGTTCGGTTCCGGTTCGACACCCTGATTCATACAAATACTTTTATGACTCCCGGTACTCTAAATTAGAACTCCGTTCATGTACTGTTTTCCTTTCATTATTTTAAGGTGTGCTTTAAGAGTATAGTGTCCTTCCCTCGGTGATTTCATGTTAAATAATGGGGCGAAAGCAAACTATTCATAAGCAATTTGTGACCGGGCCGGCCGCGCACATTCCCTTTACTCCAATCATTTCTAAAAAAAAGCCTTGAACAGCTGAGTAATGGCGCGCGAAACTATATCGGCCGCATCAGGGGACAGCGTTTTCCCGTTGGCGCGCCCCGGGTGACGTGGTCGTAGGTATAGAGGGGGTCTTGGCTGAATACGGGTGAAGCCTTCAAAGTGGCCACATACATCGGCTTGGTAATGTACCACGCTACGATTTACCACTGAAGTGCCTCAAGGTATGTGAAAGTATCACATCAAAATTTCAAGGCATCACTTAGCTAACCAATCTTTTTTTTATTGGTGACCGTATGCGAATTGCGGACCGTATACACCAAGTCATGTTTACAGACAAACCGGAGCGCCCTTAGCGGGCGCCACCGACGCCGCGCATGCGCGATGGGGGTATGGGCAAAAAGCTCGCCGTCACCCATTAATAAACCATTAGAATGGGAGGTTGTCGGCGTCGGTGTGAGTACCCGCGTTCTTTTTCGCGTGGGAATTGTTGATTCTACGTCCTCCTGGTAATGTCTGACTACTTGAGAGGCCTCAACGAAATTAACGAAGCTCGTTACACCGCCAAACTTGGCGTGAATAATGTAACATGCGGCGACCCATTTCGCCTGGACGCCGCAGAATGGACGCTATAAAGCCTGATTCACATGGTTAGGTTCTGCTCACTATTTTCAGTCATGACGTCGCTCGGGCTGCAGAAACCTGACCCGTAGTTGCGATGTCGACGTCGGTACTGAATATACCACGCAGAATCGGACCGAGTGAATCAGGCCTAACAAGTCGGTGATGGCCACTGGTAACAATTATCAACATCTTATATCTACTGTTTACACCGAGCCTACTTACCCGAAGCAGCCTTCAACCATAGACTTCTTTTGAGGTCTGCACTTCTTATCGCAATTACCAGGTCAACGTTTGGTCTACGGGCCGCTGTCGCTTCGACGAGCAGACGACAAGCAGAAACGTTTGAGAGAGCAGACGATCGCTTGAACGATGAGGCGGCCATTTGAACGTGATGACGCACTGAACGTAGTCCGTAGGTAATCCGTGCAATTTTACGGTTTTCCCGCGTTCACGTTGGAACAAAAGAAATACATCAGACGACCAGAAGTATCCGTGAATTCAATCAAAAGTGCTTTCCGCCCAAGCAATCGTGGTCCGACGGCGTCTGTTTTTCCTTTTTAACGGCCCCTGTTCACGTTCTCGGACGAACCGAGCAGGCAGAGAAGGCATGAAAACTGACCTTCAAACCTTTCCCGACTCTTTTGGTAAAGCCCTAGTCGCAGCGTTTTGACAAGAAGGCAGGTTTTTGTCTGGTTTCTTCCGAAGTAACACAGGAATGCACGTGCCCCATGGCGGCTTCCCCCCACAGCCTCAAATCGGAAGTGCGCCCGACGCGTCACCACTGCGCCGTGACGTAACAGAGATGAAATTGTGAATAACTGGCGCAACAACCAAAACATGGCGGCAGCAGCCCCGAGCCAAAAGTAGACTAATTATTGGAATTATAAACGGCGTGCGCATTTTTAGTGCTATAATGGTCCAGTGCACGATTTATTTCTTTTTCCCCATAAAGCTCATCAACTGCACACACAACAAATAAAACCGATGGTTCGTTGAGTAGTTTCAGCTACACGTCGTCTGCTCATTGACGTGACCGGGCGGCCGTGATCCGCCGGGCGCCGCTGCTGCCATCTTTCTTTTGTTGCGCCACTCAGAAACTCTGCTTTACATCACACTTGATTGCAAATCGTTCACAATCGCGTTAAAATTATGCTGTAATAATCACGAAAACATAATTGTTGAGTTCGTAAAATATAGTACCATTTATTTTCCTGCTTGCACTCAACACGGGAGAGGTGTGTTATAAGCGTTTCGGTTAGTAGCAGTACGGCGATTGAATGTTATGCCAAATTTGTCCACCCAGCGATTTCATGTTTTTTTTTAATGCATTGGCATTTATTGTTTTGGTGCATGCAGCCGTCTTTGGATTTTACGGGCCTGGTTTGGACTAAACTGGACCCGTTTCGTAAGGCCGATGCGCAGTTCCCGCCGTGCTTTTTATTGTCCGTTCGTTCTCTCGCTACGTCCACTTTCCCTGTTACAAAACGGAGCCTTCTGGCACACTTCCAATGACGTGCCGCGGGAGCGTTAGAGGAGGATATCAAGAGTTTGAACTTAGTCTGAAACAACGTATATCGAGTACAGTAAACATACCTGCTTCTTGTTTTCCGCTTGAGAATATTGCGGGAGAGGTCCGCTAAGTGGAAGGTGCCAGGTCCTCATGGGCTTGACTCTTCGGGAAGGCAGGTTTCTTTCATTGCGTTTCATCTTCCAGGCCGCTTTCGAGGGGCTCAAGATTTACCTCCACCACGGGGCGCCGTCCGTGACCTGTCACACCGTCACAGACCTGTACCGCATTGCGTGCAAGCTGAGGCTTCAGCCTCTGATGACTCGTTGCATGAAGTACCTTGCCGAAGCCGGACCCGTGGGCCGGCAGCTTGTCCTCCTCTGCAACACGGTGCGCCTCGGACTGCGGGACGAGAAGCAAGCCGCCCTGCAGTTCATCGTGGAGCAGTTCGACACTGCCACTCGGTCCCGGCAGTTTCTTGAACTGGACTGCACTTGTGTCTGTATGCTGCTGAGCTCGGGTGAGAGTCATATCCGTTTGTGTTCCCCTGATAGTTTGTCTATTAACCCCTTTTGTTAGTTTGCCTTCTATCGCGAACTATGAAAACGCTCTATAGTGGAGTAGACGAGAAGCATAGACAAACTTGCAAACTTACAGATGCTATAGATTACGCTTAGTCATCAAATTAAACGCAATGGCAGTCGACGGTGGTAGGCAAACTTGAAAAGGCACCTCGTGAAAACCCGAGTGTAACAATCGCTCTTTCGCTTAGATGCGCATCTTCAGGTCTGTAGACGTATTTTAACAAAATAAATGAAAAAAACAAAAAAAACTGCACATATCTTTACAACAACACCAATGCCTTACAAGCACAACAACACTGGGAACACCAACGGGCGAGCATCAAATATGTCCGTGTGTCGACCTTTGCGCCGCTGCAGATGTCTTAGCCACGGAGTCGGAAACCGGAGTGCTTCTTGCCGCCTTGACCTGGCTCGAGCACGAATACCAGGCTCGACGACAGTTTGAGGACACCATACTGGGATGCATTCGGTTTCCTCTGCTTCCCGAGAGCATCCTGCTGATGTGCATGGAGTCGCAGCCTCCCGGCCGTGCTGCACTGCAGGGCGCGTTCGTCAAGACCAAGCTCGCGGAAGCGTCCTTGTGAGTCGCCGCCATGCCCTGTGTAGACACTTTCTGCGCGCCTTAAAATGAGGACCGCGACGAATGGGGCGGCTCAACAATTCTGGTACTTCTAGTAAATGTGCAGCTCAGAATCGTTCCTTGACGTCCATGATCGACGAATAGATTGTAAGTGTACATTTTATCTCGCTAATACCGCGAAAACTTCGATCTCGTGAAATGCAGTTCCAGGATGAGCTAATAGATAGCGCCAGCTTGCCAGTGTGCTTTCTAGTCGTAAGATATACAAGAACTCGGTCGTAAGCGAACGCCAGGGTGTGAACAGATGCAACTAGAATATTATAAACAAGAAAATACTGTTGTTTCATAAATTATAAAGAACCATATATTTGCACAGTCTTGTAGGGTTCCCATTACATGTAAACAAATTACTTGTAATTAACAAATTTTTTTAATATTTTTGTAATTGGATTACTTTTTATTAGGAAGAAATTGCAAGAGTAATTTGTTTACTTTTGGAAATATCTAAAGCTACTTGTTGCTGCTACTATTGTTTTCTTCCCTCCCTAATTGCGCCCTTTGGTCTTACATGTTTCCCCCTTAAGAATCTTCGAAACATGTTTCCGGACAAAGCATGGCCTACCAAAATTGCTGTATTGCTAAGATCTGTAGTTTGAAATTCGGCGATTCTAAAGGTGTCTCAAATAGCAACCTGACTCTTTAAGTCGACCGCAAATATCGGTTTCTTAACCTATCTCGCCATGATTTTGTGCAGCATTGCCCGCAGGTGGTGCATTTTTTCCATAAAATTTGCAGAGCCAGCTTCCCTGGAGAAAAAGTAAAAGTGGAAAAAGTCTTAACTCCTATGGAAACGTTACGAAGCCACCGGTCTTCAAACAATAGGGCGCCTTTTGGCACGAGAGACAAGAGATGGCGCAAGTGGTCGCGACACCAACTGCCGCCAACGAACGAGCACACGGCGCAGAGAGCCGGCGTCTTTAGCAGACGATATTTTCGACCCAAAAGCGGCGCGTGTTGCGCAGGCGGCGAGAACTTCTGCAAAGCAAACAAATTAGTGCCCTGAAAAAAAAAGAGTAAAAATAGCCTGACAAACCATTTTTTATTCGATTATATGTCCATTCAATGTGTTTTACTAATAAGGATGATAAAATCATGCATTGGCAACTGACATCGAAAAAGCTCGCGCCGCTTTTGAATGGAAACGATCGTCTGCTAAAGACGCCGGCTCTCGGCGCCGTGGGGTCGTTCGTTGGCGGCAGTTGGCGTCGCGACCGCTTGCGCCATCTCTTGTCTCCCGTGCCAAACGGCGCTCTGTTGTTTGAAGACCGGTAACTTCTTAGCGTTTCCATAACAGTTAAGCCTTTCCTACTTTTTTAACCTTTTCCTTGGGTATGTTTGCTCTTTGCAAATTTTATGGAAAAAATTCCCCACACGTTGGCAACGCTGCACAAAACAGTAGCCCGATATAGGTTAAGAAACCGATTTTAGCGGTTGATTTAAAGAGCCTGGCCGCTTTTTAAGACACCCTGCAGTTCACAAATGGAGGCACCAAAGGTCCGCATTATACTGGCGGAAAAAATTACCGTTTTGAAAATTCGAACTATTTGGGAAATAAAGGTTCCTTTTTTGGGGTAATGGTTATTTACTTTTTCTCTCCAGTAATCAAGTAACCGAATTTAATATTTCTTAGCCCAGAGTAACTGTAGCTGTAATATATTACTTTTTTTTGCAATGCGTACGAGATCGCTTTATATTAATGCAGCTTCCACTACCTGAACCTGCGTGGGCGTCCGGACTTGGGTCCCGAGATCAAGCGGCGCACCTTCTTGGGCACCGACCCGTCTCCGCAGTCCCTGGACGAGGGTGCCCTCCAGCCCGGTTCTTACACCAGGACCGTGATTGAGAGGCACATCCTGACCGAGGACCGCGTAAAGCAGGCCCTCCAGAGGGCACAGGCGGCGTGTTCTGAGGTCTTCCAGACCCCGACGGCGTGCATCAACAACGCCTACTACAGGGAACACGAACGCGAGCTCACGGTGGCTCAGGCTGTGGTTAGGGGGTTCCTGGCGCGAAAGCGCTACGCCAAGCTGCATGCCAAACCTAAGGTTGGTAGCAAGTTTTTAAAAGGATTACCCAAGCTGTACACTAGAGGCGCACCTAACTTGGCAAGAGCGTGGAGATCCCAGGCGCCTCACTTAAGCATGCAGTTTTGCTCTAAGGCGCTAGTGAGTGCCAGGGTACCTTCCGTAGGCGTTTCAACGGCTTTTCTCTGGCTTGCCACGGAATTGCCATAGTGACAGACTTGAGCCAAAGATGCCAGCTGACAACCAGAACTACAATCGACGAAGCCTAAGTCTGGTACTTGGTTCGGCAATTTAGGCCCAACGTTGCCACGTGAAGAAAACCGAACAACCGGAAATGAAGCCTAACCCTTGCACGTGGTTTGGCGATTTGGGCCCAAAAGATGCCGGATGACAGTCAAACCATCTGCAGTGAAACCTAACTTTGGCACTTGTATGGCGAATTAGGGCCAAGATATCCAGACTCTCGGCAAGGAAGGTCTAATATGGCTACACCTTGGCATCTTCGGGCTTTTTAATGGCGTAAATTCCCATACAGAAGCCAAATTTTGGCCAAAAAAACTGTGCTATCCGGGGAATCGCCCTTTAATTTGTGTTGTGACTACCATGTTTCATTTTTAAAAACAACCATATAAAATTAATAAAAAAAAAAACTTCGTATTATAAAGTCTTTTTTTTCTGCAGCAAAACGTTTCGCCTAGTTTTTACATTGACTATATGTGTGCATCAAATACCTGCACAAAGACTTGAGGCCCAAACTTAACTTCTGTCTTGCCAACACATCGACGGTGTGGTTAATAAGTCCCAGGCTTCCTTCCTTTTCAACACCTCGCTCTCTCTCTCTACTGTACGTAAATGCACAATATCCTCACTCTAGTATATGTAGACGCTTTCAGGCAACTTTGAATAGGTGCTACCGTCTTCGCATCACATGACCCGTCCGCCATTGCCGGCCTCTACTTTTCCGCGGCAGCACTACGTACTGCACTGCGTAAACCGTGTTTCGCCAGCCACCACCGGGGTGTTGTATTCGTTGGAATCTTGTTGTGAATGGATCGACGACTGAAGATTATGGCTTAGACTTCAGAGTCCATGCACGTTCATCACACCTGTTATGTTTTCGCCGAAAGTAAAGCTAGTTGGAACCCAGTGCGACTTTTGCAAATGTCGAGTAAATACAGCAAGGCTGTCGCAGTCTTATTCATCACTGAATCTGCGTACTTCACTCGTCGTGGTCTTGTTTCAAGACCACGACGAGTGAACTTCAATTGCACTTCAATCACGTAGGCGATTTGGCAAGCGGAAAAATTTGCGATCAGCGACGGGCTGGGCCGTTGCTGGGGCGGATTTCTTGCTCTCGGACGCAGCCACTTTTGGTTGTAGTTGATTCCTAGTAAACTTCGCTCGTCACCCGGGAGTCGCTTGCATGCGGTCTTTGGCGCTGTCTCTCGTCGCTCATCAGAAGAATATCGTGTTCGATGTTGGGTACATCGGAATGAGTTACAGCAGACAACCTATCCGTTGGATAGAATGTCTTGCGAGATCGAGCAGTCGTTAATTTGCGAGCGTGGCCCAAGAAAAACTGATGCCAGTCCCGTCTTAAAGATGCTCTTCTCGGGTTATTCAGCATGGAATTGTGCAATGTTAGCGACTCTAGGTTCGCGGCCGCAGCGATGGCCGTTTATGATCGTGTTTTCTGCAGAAAGAGAGTCGATAACGTAGCTCCTAAATTTCTAAACTTCAAAAAATCGTAATATCACGGTTTTGCTTGGTTTTTCGGGTATCTCTCTCCAGTTTGTTGCTGAGTGGTACGGTACAGACCTTATAGAATGACCGTCTTTTCGGAATTCGGCAGCCGAAATTTGGAAGTTGTGTCGGACATATTTCTCTGGATTAGTGGATTGATCCTGTAGCTTCGTGTTCACATTCGAAACTTTCTGTAGCAAGATATCAAAATAAGAAAGCAACTGTTTTAACAGTAGGTGTCTGACTAATAGAGAAGCTATTTTCACACATTAAAAAAGGGACGTCGAAGCGTTAAAATAAAATTGAAGGAGTGCAGGCGCAAGCCAAAATACACGCCGGCAATGGGAGTGTGGGGGGCGCGCCGACTGGTGGAGGACCCCTTCACCAGAGTACCCTGTTACTGTTTAGAAACAAAAGCCGTCTCTTGGTCCTAGGATACTTCCGGTAGCTCCGTTTTGGCAGGCTTTCCGAGACAGTTGCTATCAAAAGTCCTGGGACGATGTTCTACGGAAATCACGAAGTTGAGGATTTCGCGATTATATCGTTGTATGCTATTCAACATATAAGAGGGAAGTAATGCCATACAGGAGGAACAAAAATAGTCTCCAACAAAGTTTTCGCTAACCATTCCTTTAGCTAACCACCTAGAGAAGTCGTCATACTATATTTGGTAAACGTTACAAAAAGCGGGGCTATGGTGGTAACTGTTTGTCTCCTCGTTTGAAGGGAAGTTCAATAGGACGTAAATTGCCATCATAACCTCCTTTCGGTAATTTAGACAAAAAGAGTAAGTTTAGCCGATGGGCAGAGCCTGTCGCCCGCTAGAGTAACCGGACCAAGAACCTCAAGGTCTTTTTGCTTCTGACCACTCCACTCTGTGTGCTCTAGTTACAATTGGCGGTCGGGAGTTGTTTTATAAGTAGAATTTTATGTACTCTAACATTTTATTTCGACTGCAATTTGTCGCTGTTTCCAAGTACCGGTCGCCTTTTATCGATTTCCAAAACAAAACTTACCGATAAGCGGTTACTTCCCTTTGGTATTAAACAAAATTATGCTTCCTCAAACAAAAAAAGAACCCGGCAATGAAACGCACAGGTCTGCAGTGCCTGTCTTAGATGGCGCCCATCGCAACACTAAATTGAGAGAGCACCCCGCCCACTTTTGCCAAGCAGCCATCCGAGAAGCCAGCATTCTCTGAAAACGCAACCTCTGGAATCGCAATAAGTTTCAATGTGTCTAGGGAGCTATGGAAGGCGATGGTGGTACCTGGACTAACATTGGCTAACGCTGTAATATGCGTCCCAGGAGATGTCCAAGCCCACATTGAGCGAAGGCAACGAGAGGTTGCCCGCTAGGGACTTAGCTGCTACGAGACAGTAGCATATGAAGCCGTGTAGGGTGACCTGGGCAGGTCCTCCCATGAAGCTCGGGAAGCGAACAGCAAAGTTATGTTCGACGGACGGCTTCGACACATGGACACCTGCCGTTGGGCCAGTAGACTGTTCTGATACACCCACCTCACGGGACTCCCGAACACCCGCTGGCAGTGACGTTTCAAACATCTCTAGCGCAAATACTTTTTTTTTGTTGACCCCATATATACATTGACGGTACAGGCACGGGACTCGGAAATCTGTCAGAAGGTTCGTGGCCATGAGACCCAACAGTGGCTCCATGTGGTACACACGAAGCCGAATCTGAATATCTACGTGACACACAAGCAGAGCATCACCTCAGAGACTCGGTTTTACGACAAAAGCCTTGGCAGCCAATTGCTCTTTGAAGCACGAGCCGAGGCTCTACGAACGCTTTCCTACAGACGACACTTTTGACATCACTGTGATCGCGAGTTTGTGCCGAGAGTGTGGGGCCCGCGATGGAGCAATCGCGTATATTGTACTTGAGTGCTTGGCTCTGGAGCCGACTTAACACATTGCAGTGGCCCCTGTCTCCAGAGCCCTTTGGCACTCTCTCATGCTTTTGGCTTCAGTGGGTGCCCGCATGAACGACATCAAGCCACCGATACGGGACGTGATGGACAAGCAAACAGCCCTAACGCACAGTGGGGGCAGATCGGGTCCAAACTGGTCGACTGTTGAGACCTCAAAGCGACGTCTGGAGGACTGGTGGCGAGATATACATCTCGGGGTGAACTAAGCATTCAATGGACCCCCAGGGTAATCCACGAACACTGCTCGAGCCCGCCCGTTTCGAAGGGAATAGCCATAACATCATCATCATCATCATTATCAATTTTGTAGGTGGGAAGTTTTGAGACAATATTCAAAGTATTGCAAATTCAATTTTGACGAAAAAGGAAAGAATTGAAGTCACGTAAATAAAATTACATGATTGTAGTTGGTAACTAGGTTTGAGATTTTAATTGCGTGTACAGCACCAAAGACGCTTGTATTATCAAGAAACACTTTCATTACGATGGCAAATCGCCGCATGCGAGGCGTGTTTAAAGGAGCTGTGCAACAATATTTGTACTGTGCACAAATACCGCTTAAAACGGATCCCTAACGTTAATGACTTATGAAACACGCGTTCGTTTTTCACCCCACGCAATAGAAGTCCCAGAAAAAAAATTGAATAAAAACGAGCAGCCTTCACCCCCTCAACTCGCAGCCAGAACAAGCGGCCACGTGATCTGGACCCGATTATATGCCGCCAGTGTTGATCATAACCACGCGCTGGGGTTGGCAAAGCGCAGGACACGCGCTGAGTTCCAGACATTGTTATGGCTCGGCTGTTGTCGTCGTTGCAGCGATTGGACACGGGTCACTACCCGAATGCTTCTCGAGCTAGCAATTGTCACGAGCCCAAGTCGAGTGCCCACGCAATGCCCGGGTCCAATCTATGAACCGCATTCAAATATCGTCACTTGGGTGTACTGCGATCCCCGAGTTACGTCATCAAATTTTGCAAAGGAGAGATTGAATGAAAATGACCGCTTTTGTCCTTGAAATTACACCGCAACAAAGGAGTTTCTTGGCCAATGGCGTTGCGTGTGAGTATCCTTGAGTCCCAGGTGTGCCAGTAAGCTCGTGTAGAGAGAAGAACATTCCAATTGATTATCGTTGCACAGCTCCTTTAATTCAGAGTGCATCAAAACTTTGATGCACCAGGATGCCCGAGAAAAGTTTTTACCTTCGGGTTGCCTCATTTTCAGCTGCGGTTGCAAGACTGCTGGCATGTCCGAAATAATGCCCGACTTCCCCAGTATAAACGGCCCTCTAGACAGGCCACGGCTTTGCATAAGTAACCCTCGCTCGCGCGTCACGCACACAGAAATCTGCTCGGTGCAAAACAGATTCGTAACTTCAACGACCTACAGGGGCGCTCTGGTTCCTATCAAAATGGCTGTCATCTAGATGATCGTCAAAAAAGCAGCAGTACGAGGTTGGGTCTGGGACGCGTGTGTAAATATAATTTTGTGAAATACCAGGGACGGTAACAGCCTTACCTCATACGTCCACGTCAGTAAGGTGTATGTAAGCACCTACTATCTGAAACCGAACATCCAGGATCTAGAGAGTGCGATTCTCACACCGCGGTATCACCATTGCTGAAAGCTGTGAAATAGGTCCCGTCGCATAATATTGCGCCTAGCGGCAGAATCAGACAAAAGGAAGACACGTATATGCGAAATGTTAGCGGCGTAAGTAGAACAATCCAACGCTGTAACTGCTGTAACCGTACCCTTGTAAAGCGCATTTATGCGCAATAAACCCCTAGACCTTAGCAATTTTTTTTACGGACAGGTTTTAGGGTGTGTAATTTCAAAAGTGGTACTCAATATACCACAGGCGTAGAACGTGTTCCAGTTTACCATTACGCTTTACAGACATACTTTTCAAGAAAATTATGTCACGCTGATCTGCCCTTCGCACACTAAAGTTGGTGCCTCTTTACTCTTTTTTAATTCCACCGGAAATTGCGCAATGTTTTGCGGCTACGCATAACGTTGTTTTATCTATAGACTCTCAGTAGGCATTTTTTTCTGGTTAGTGGATGGGCTTTCCTCGGCATAAAATTAAATGGTAATTTTGTGGTGGTCTGGAATGAACGTAAGCATGAGTACTAAAAAATTAGTAATAACCAGACTAATATACCGGGTGTTTTTGCGCAGACTTTCAAAAATCCTAAAAATTAGGGCGTCTGAAGAAAAAAAAACTGTCTTCGGGAACAAACTACGAGCCACGGCGGACGTCAGAAATTTCCAAAAACATACTAATTAGCCAGCTAATGAATTAAAATTTTTTACTTAACTTTTTAATTAGTGGAAATAGACATATGGTTCCAGTTGGAAGCTTCCTGAGCGTTATCGAAAACCACTAAATCAGTCATCTTCAGATAGACTTTGAGCGCGTGAGAAGCGTAGTAAAACACTAAAGTTACCACTCGTGGAACAGGTACAAGGCTGGGGTTAGATAAGAGACGGAAAAATCTCGCGGGGCGCCTTACCGCAACTGCTAGCCTTGTACCTGCTCCACGAGTGCTAACTTTAGTGCGCTACTACGCTTCTGACACACTCGAAGTGTTTCAGAAAATTACTGATTTAGTGGTTTTCGATGTCGCTCAGCAAGTTTCTAACTGAAACCATATATCTATTTTCATTATTAAAAAGTTAAATAATGAATTTTAATTAATTATCCGACTGATCGTTACGATTAGCCCCGTATTCTTTGTCCCCCTGTCCGTATAACTCACTTGCACAAACCGCATAAGTGTAACCTTCGCAGCTTTTTTTATTCAAATCTGTTAATTAAAAAAAAAAAGGTGTAAATTTTTTACAAAAAGGACAAGCTTCACCTTAAAAAACACAACACTTTCTCTTGAGGGTAGTGGCACCCACGAGAAAATTTGGTGTGTTTATGTATATTTGTTCTCAGCTCCTGCGCCAACGCCTTCTTGTACGAGCTTATAGTTTTGTTCAGTATACTGTTGATACCAAGCGCCTTGATGATAATTTAGTTTGCTTCTCTATGGGTTGGTAATCCTTGAAATTCTACAGCGTATATGGATACCAAGACAGACCAACGTAATAAAACAGTATTGAGATTATACTATGCTATTTTTTTTTCATTTCTTACTCTTGCACATCATAGCCCAACCCACTGGCCTCATCCGGCTTTACCGACCAACAAACTCCGAAGGACACGCCTGCTTTGGGCGGCCAGGATCAGTGGGACGCCGAACCTGCGTTGCAGGCCTTGCCGCGCATGACAAACCTCCAGGTGCCAGGAACCGTGATTCTCATCAGCGGCGGTCTGGGTGCTGACGAGCGGATCAGCACCAGCTGCTCCCTCCTAGGCTTCACACCCAAGGACTGCATGCTGTGGCGTTGCGGCAGGCTGCCACAGCCGCGCCAGCTCCACGCGTCCGTGTTCTTGGACGGCCACTTCTACATTCTGGGCGGCTTCGACGTGAGAAACACCAACGATGGTCTGAGGTTCGCTACCAAGACCTGCTTCAGACTGGAGTTGTCCACGGGCACGTGGGAGCGGCTTGCTGATATGAGACACGCTCGCTGCAACCATGCAGCCATCGCCATGGAGGGGCGCATCTACGTGGTCGCCGGGCAAGACGAGTTCGACATGTAAGCAAAGGAGAATGAGTTTGACATGTAAGGAGAATAAAGACAAGTTTTTCATCTACACAGTGGTGTCTGGTGTAAAAGGTAAGGGATTAATTGGTCAAACAAGCACGTAGCTTTCACTTGTAGATATGAAAAGCCTGTCTTTATTCTCCTTCGGCCCGAAGCCCATGCATTTCCCTGTCCTCTTAAGCCCGAATGGAGGTCTTTGACGTTATTTTCGTTGTGTGTTCTCGCGCACACCGGCGGTTGCTGGCTCGTGGAAAGAACGTGCACCACTTATTATGGGCACTAAATTCTTTCGTTCAGTGTCCCTTTAATGCCGAACAGAAACTACTGAAGGTTGCCTGAGCTAGAGTTTACAGTAGGCTTTAAGACTTCTGGCATACCATTTATTTTGCGTGGTAGCTGAAATGGTCAATTGATGCGCGATGCTGGTTGTGTTTGGAGCGGAATATTGGAAGTTCACGCGGTGTGTCATCGAGGCGAAATGACCTGTATTTGTCAACACTACTATATATGCGAATTCTGTATATATGCTAATAATAAACCCCTGCCTTTAGGAATAAAATTGATGACTACTATAAGTCTTACAACGACTGGCATACTATTGCGCATTCCACATACAACTCAGAATGAAGAATACATGTCTTGCTCACACATCGCTCACCTAGAGTAATCAGAAACTCAAATTTCTTTCCGAACGCAAATGAATCATGGAAGAGAGTTGATAAAAGCTTGCTTCAAAAGCCTTTCTTAACTGTAGAGTGGCTAGATTGCATCGAGAATGATAACGAGGCTCGTTTCATGAGCCAAACTCTAGGCCCACGACAGGATTTGTGCCGCACTAGGGGAGATCTGTTTCCCGTTCGACGGGCTCAATTCATCCCTCGGCGCCATTCAGTACGCTTAAGCTGAATCTAAAGTTTGATTCTAGCTTCCTGAGCTCAGTGGAGTGGTACGAGCCGGGCTCCGACGCCTGGACCGAATTGGCGTTGCCCTTGCCTTGCCGGCTGTCGGCCTGCGGTGTGGCTTCTTTCCGGGGTCTCCTCCACGTGGCTGGAGGTCTGGTGCAAACCGCGCGCAGGCGGGATCTGAACGTCGTGTCGACGCTGCTGTGCTGGGACGGCCATCGTTGGACCACAGCGGGACCTAGTCTTCCCTTGGGTCGAGGTTCGAATAGATGCAGTCCAATCTCTTCGTTTCTTCCTCCTTGTCACGTGAAGTCAGGTCATGTTACGTGACACCATGACTTTTAAGTGTCACGTAACCTGATGATGTCACGTGGCGTAGTGGCGTGTAGGTCATTGCGACTACATCACAGGTGCGAACACGATAACGTTATGAGCTGCTTCTATAAATGCTATACATTTAAAAGAGCCGTAACATTGATACTTCATGCGTAGGAAACCCCTGGTCATGTAAAACTATGAGATGCGCTTGTGAACCGTTGCAGTAAGCGACGAGAACAATGAAGCGTACACCTTCAGAGATAAGTGTTAGCTTACTCAAACAAGCTCGAGATTGCCGGTACGCCGTTGACGGAGTATGTATCAAATTCTTCCTGTATCAATAATGTTTGCACCTAACGGTATGACTAAGTTTTACGTTTTCATTGGTGTCATAATCTTGTTTCAATAATAATGCTTTCATTTCTCACGATGTGGCGTTTATATAACCTAGACCCAAAGTCAGATGATGCAACAAGAGTTATTTCGGAAAGATCTGGCCGAAACTGGCAAACCTCTTCGTTTTTAAAAAGTCAAAAAGTCAAAAGTCTTTATTTCTCTTCGTTAGGAGAGGGGAGGCAGAGAAAAAAGCAACTCAGTGTTGCTTGACGAGCCTCTGCCCCCCCCCCCCTCCCCCCACAGCAGCAGGGAAAAAAATATATACACGTATACATGTTCATACAAATTCACAATCTCTACACCAATAAAAAGAAAATAAGCGAGCTAAATCGTACAATCGATTCATGCTTTAACTATTCCGGAAAATATTTAAGAAAATCATTAACAAAAACTGAAAGTAATCGCAGCTTCAGGCTAGAATGACATATCCTGGTTCAAGATCACCATTAAAACAATGTCAGATACTTTTGGCTTGAGTTTGTTAGATTTACATCCCTATGCGTACAATGATACAAAAAGGGAAAACCGTTGGAAAATCGGGAACTGTGTACTTTCAGCATGTGCTGTAATATTGACTGTTCTCATCAATTCAACAAGACTTTATACACCCAACGTACACCGCCGCAGAAGATGTATCTAAATCGAACGCGCCTTCGGATGAAAACGGGTCGTTATAAAAGGAACAATCTTTAAGGAAAGGTTATTCGTTTCTCATCTGTTGGAGGACTCATTGACATCTTGCTTCAATAACGTGTACTTTCGCATCTCCTGGTTGTGGCAGGATCTCTCGGGCTCGTAGAACACGCGGGCAAGCTTTATGCCGTTGGAGGCCTTGCCAGGGCCAAGAAGGGTCATCTACGAGTCCTTGCGGACATGCTCATTTACGACGGCCAGGAGGACGACTGGAGGATTGGGCCATCCTTACCGGAGCCGTTGCACGCATGCCACGTGGCATCTGTGGGTAAGCTATGGCAAGGAGGCTAGCTTGTGTAAGCTGTAGGCCAACGGCGTAGAGAATATAGTTTTCAAGAGAGGACGCGGGGACAACCCGTTCATACGTTTAGAGTTATGGTTCTTGAATGCCAGATTCAATAGTATGGCTCGGTTTTTTGTTTAGACATAATATTTTATAGGTGAGGTAAGGTTATTAGCATCCCCAATCAGCTGATGGATGTGTAGCAACAATACTGACAATATTGACCATCGGAATGGCTTGATGGATCTGGGCTTATCTTCATCTCTGTGAGATGAACGGAATGTGGTAAATGTAGAGCTGAAAGTGAAATTTTTAACAAAGATGATGTAATTAAACAAAAATTCACATTGTAACCAGAATTCTAATTCTATTGAAATGCTACTGTTTTTTTTTTTTTAATATTACGGAAGTCTGTTTAAGTTAAGTTTGGCAAAAGGTGAGGCCATTGGGTTTCCTTAGTTTTAAGCAGTGTTGCGGAATGAGCACCCCCTTCCATTCCAACCGTTCCTGGAAATGAGCGTTTGCAATAATTCCATTTCTTTCAACTCCTAGAAATTGACACATTGGGTTCATTCCTACTTATGAAATGGCTGAAGCGTTCTTTTCCATCCCTCTAACTCCTAACCATTAAAAACTGGCACTTGACAGGTACATTGTGTTACCTGCAAAATCAGTACGACGAACGCTATCAAACGCAGAGACAACTTCAAAAATATGCCCACGCGTCCCCAAAACATCAAATCTACATCAATAGTGACAGATGGGCCAGTTGGTACATGACTTATTTTCATAAAATTCGCCGCAAGACAAGGACAGAGTAAGTGAGACAACACGGGGCGCTACTTTCAAATGAATGTTTATTGAAAACACACTATTTATATACCCAATCGGACTTCTCAAGTAAGAATTCAAATTCTTTGTCTGTCAGATGCACTGACGGGGCACTAATGCACTTGTCATCCCCCTGCATTCTAATGTTAAATGACTCGAACACCTCTCTCGAGATTTTACTTCTCAGCTTTGTCAGAATTTTTGTTTTTTCCAGTCCCGCGGCGCAAGGGCATCTGTCGCAATGAATAGCTAAATTTCCCGAGGGGGAATTCCTTACTGATAGCGCGTGCTCTCTTGCCCTTTCATCAATGCATCTGCCCGTTTGGCCCACGTACCCTTTTCCGCATGTCCTTGGAATTTCTATACGACCAAAGATGCGCATTCCACGAATTTTCTAGAGTGCTTCTTTCTGCAAATGTCACCTCCGTCTTGTTTATTGTTAATTCTTTGGCACAGGCTGGACAGCTTTTCCGGGGCCGAAAACACAACCGGCAAATCAAAGCGTGCCGCCACTTTTTTTAGGTTGTGTGAGACCTTGTGTATATACGGTATAACAGCGGGTCTCACTCTCCTCCTGGGCTTCTGTGCTTCCTCTCCTTTCTTTTTCATCTTGGAAACAAGTGTTTCCGCCACCTCTTGAAGAAAACGACCAGGATAATCCGACGATTTTAGGCGTTCCGTCTGGTTGCAAAAACTACTTTTCACGGTGTGCTGGCACGACTTGGCCAACAATGCCTTCAAAAGGGAGGAAGCGATCACTCTCTTAACCAGCTTACAGTGTGCTGAATTAAAGGGCAGGACCGTTTTCTTTGAGCGTGGTCTGTACTCCCAGAACACGTGTTCCTCTTGAAAATCTAAACTTAAATCCAGGAATTGAAGCTTTCCTGACGCCATTGTTTTGTGAGTGCCATTGCGCCCCGGAACTGAAAAAAAAACAAAAATTCTGGGAAAGCTGAGAAGTAAAATCTCGAGAGAGATGTTCGAGTCATTTAACATTAGAATGCAGGGGGATGACAAGTGTGTTAGTGCCCCGTCAGTGCATCTGACAGACAAAGAATTTGAATTCTTACTTGATAAGCGCGCTTTGGTATATAAAAAGTGTGTTTTCAATAAACATTCAGTTGAAAGTAGCGCTGCCTGTTGTCTCACTTACTCTGTCCTTGTTTTGCGGCACATTTTGTGAAAATACATCAATTCTACTAATCCGAGCGGTGGTCGCACATAGCGCTCGTGGCGATTGGTGTCACTGCACACTTCGGTCCCGCGATCAAGCGTGAAATGCTGGCAAAAGACAGCAAAACTTAAAGCACGCATTGTGTTTAGAAGCAGACCTTACATGGTCTCCACTCCTAAGAGATATATGACAAGTAAGAAGTCCCGTATTCAAGAAAGGCGGGTAGTGTGACATTGTCCCTGCCATGTGGCCTGCAACTGGTGCTGTAATCTCGCATGGTCAAGAGAGCCGCTTTGTTGCGTCTCGCGGCGCGAGAGCGAGACCTTGTTCGTCTGCAACTTTTTAGTTGTGGGTACTTTAGTGGGGGTGCCACTTTCATTGAAGGAACACGAGCGGAACAGACAATTAAGCCGTCAGTGACTTTAAATGCAATAAAATAAAGCTGTTTCAAGAGCCACTTTGACCGTGCGCCAGCGTTTCGCCATCAGCAATATCGATACAGCTCGCATAAGGACCGAACCCATTCCATTCTCGCTCCATTTCGGGCCAAAGACATACAGTTCTATTTCCATTCCATTCCTCTCAGCGTTGCCACCATTTTATTCCCCTTTAATTCCGGTGTCGCGGTAAGACAAAATTATTCAAAGTTCGGAGTGGAAAATCTCCAACTCTGGTTTTAAACTCTTTATTGAGTGTCAGTGTTCGAGTTAGTTTTCGCAAAACAACAAGTGGCGTTTACCTCTTTATTCTCGCTTGTGTTTCTGTAACCAGACGGCCGGCTGATGGTCATGTGCGGCTTGCGGTCTCCCGAGGACACGTCTCTTCCAAGCTCCCTGTTCTTCCAGCTGAACGGCGACAGGTGGCAAACCGTGGCCAGGCTGCCTGTGTCTCTAGCAGGATGCTCCACCGCAGTGTGCCGTTTCCAGAACTCCAAGACGGGCACCTCGCTTGTCACTTCGTCGGCGACCACGTCTGAGTCTTACCCCTCGATTAAATGCGAATGAATCTGCGTGAAAAAAAAAGAAGGAACAGTTGCGTTACAGCCAACTTCTACCGAGGATGTTAAGGAATTCCACCATGTGGATAGCACGAGGAATCAGATTAGTTTGAGATGACTACAAACTCTTTGCGTTTTGTGCTTAAAACTATGCTCATGTCTATCATTCTTTTACTGTTTGTTTTTCTGTATATCGCGACTCATTTTTCGTCTTGTGTTTGCTTTATAAATGTCTCCACTGCCCTTCTAAATATGACTTTTCTGCCACGGATAGTCTTTTCATTCTGAGTGGGAAGGAAAGGGGGGAAAAAGGTTCAAATCCAGTCAAGCCACATTTTTACGTCCTTTCTTACCTGTATTTCCGACATCATGTCAAAATGGATGTCAAATAAAATTGATTTGATTTGAGTTGAATAGAGGACTGTCTTGTGACAGTATAGAGAGGAAGTTTATGCAGAACTCAAGTTTGTATGCTGCTTGTACGGCGGTTTCGGTGACGTCTGAACGCCGAGCACTACTTGGCTCTGATTGGAAGGATAGTGGGTAGACCTTAATGCTAGCTGCATGGCTAGCTGCCTTGAAGTCTACCCCCGTTCTTGCAATCGGAGCCAATCACAGCTCGGCGTTCTGACGCCACCGCAGCTCAAAGTTGTAGGACGAACACGAGGCGACGTACCGGCTCAAGTTAGCCAAACGAGAACATCCTAAGTAAAGCCGAAAGTAGGGGTCGCGGTACGCGAGAACGCCGCCCAGTGCGCCACAGTCCGTCCAATAGCGTACGAAGGGGCAGCGGAGAAAAGCTCACCGAAGAAAAGCTCACCGGAGAAAAGCTCACCGCAAAACCGGCAGATGTGGAGAAAAGCTCACCGGCTTTTGAGCGGATGTGGAGAAAAGCTGACCGATTTTTTTAACTTAGCGGATTCTGTGTCAGACGTGGCAATTTAACAAAATTCGCATTCGTCAATACATTAAAAAAATGTCCTTTTTTTGTATCATTTTAAAGGTCATTGGGCATATTTACTAATTTTTCAGAAATTAGTAATCACCCATTTTGTATATTAATGAAGCCGCAAGGGTATAATATTAGGTACATCCTACACCGGTAAAAAAGACAACAATTTATTGACAACTGAGCTGTAATAAATTTTCGGGACTCGCCACACCCTGTCTTTCTTAGGTCGTCAGTGACTATGCAGAACGCAGGTTCGTCTGCGACTTGCGCAGGGGTTGCAGTGACGTCAGAACAATGCTGAGCTCTGATTGGCTCCGGTTGGAAGGATAGTGGGTAGACCTCAAGGCCGCTAGCATTGACGTTTATCCACTCTCCTACCAACCAGAGCCAATCAGAGCTTGGCTTTCTTATGTCAGTAGAACCCCTCCAACAGAACCAGATGAGCTTGGGATCCGTATAGGGTAAAGTGAATCACGTTTAAAGGATATATCAACGAGGATTGTTTAAATATTAGTTAGCGTGTGCTGTGCATTCGACACACCGTAAATGTAGTACAAGCTACGGTTGCACATTTAACAGAAGAAAAAAAAATAATGTGCGGTTCTGTAGTTTTTTTTTTTTTTTTTTTTAGTTTTTTCAGCTTTACCACAGTTGAAATAAAGCGGATTTATGATAATGGCGTTTCGACTGCGGTGATTTTGACTGCGGAGTTGCGGGACATTTTCGGCACTGAGGAAGTTCATCAAGTTACATATTTGGCTTCACGAGTGAAAGATTATATTCGGACGAACTTCGCAATTTAATGTTTCGGACGTCAGTCTTTTTTTTTTTTTGTCAAGGGTAGTTGTTTTCACGAACGAAATTGCGGTATTACTGTCACACTCCCGCAGGGAACATTTGCAAGCATAAAGCGTCTAAAGGAACGGATATCCCGAAAATACTACAAAGCAGGCAGCTTTCAAAACAGGCACAGCGTGCGAGTACCGAGTAATGCTATTTTATTGCTTCACTGAACCGACGCACATGTGTCTGGTTTTACCGCCAATGTTAAACC